GCCTAGACTCTGTCTGTCTGTCTGTCTGTCTGTCTGTCTGTCTCTCTCTCTCTCTCTCTCTCTCTCTCTCTCTCTCTCTCTCCAGAGACCATGTTAAGGGTCTTTTTGATGGACTTCAAGTGGAAATAATCTGTTAATTTGTTCATATTTTCAATGAAATATGGTGAAGTCTCCCCTTTGTGCCTTTCGTTATGATGAACACACTCATATTTCTAAAGCTTGGATCTCTGTGTCATTGTTTCTCTCACTCTGTCTACAGATTACATCATTTTCTGGGAATAAAATATCTACCTCATAACAGATTTTTACTGATGTGAGAAGCCACTCAATTTCTCCATTTTGAGAAAGTCTCATGTGACATTTCAAACAGCACATCCCTTTGTTTCTCACACTGAGATTAGCATAACAAGGAATTCTTCTTGACAATTGAACTGTTACAAGCCCAAACAGAAATTCATTGTATACAGCTTCAAAATATTATCTATGATATTTATATATTATCAAATGATTTTGGGAAAAGGCAATCAATGTTGGAGACAAGAATAAACGTTCATACTGTACCAAATAAAATTTGATAGGACTTGAATAGAAAAATCTGAATTCAGAGATGAAGAAACATGTTTTACATGAGACTTGGACCCAAAAGAATTGATCACTGGAGTTTATTGTTAAAAACTATGTAGTTCTAACTTAGCAGTTAGGAGCACTTGCTGCTCTTTCAAAGGACTCAAGTTTGGTTCCCAGCACCCACATGGCAGCTCACAACCATCTGTAATTCCAGTTCCAGGGATCAACTACCTCTTCTGATCTTCACAGACACCAGACTTGCATGTGGTCCACAGATATAATACAGGCAAAAACCCATACACATAAAAATCAGATTTTAAAAACAAATTAGACAGTGATTATTATAGGAACACACATCTCTACACTCTCCAAGTCAGTCAGCCATTAACTGATGTCACCACAGTTTGGGTGGGTAACACAGAATTATACAGTTTGGAATGAAGTCAGACATAATGTCAGTGTTTCATATTCCTTCCTGTTATAGAAGACAAACGTCAAACCTACAATAGTTGTCTCACCCACTTAGAGACAGAGTCAAGACCTAAGAACAAGATTCCTGGTTTCCAATACAGTTCTACTTAAACAGTGTGACTCTTCCAAAGACAAATCAATTCAGGGCTATCCTTAAAAAATAAAAAATAACATGTTATTGAGAACAAGGAACGTTCCTTGTTTCCCCACTTCCAGGAATGAAGAGGAAAGAGCAGTGATTGACCAACACCGGTGTGGGTTCATGCAAGATCAGCCCTTTCCAGGAAAGCAGAGCATGTGCAGAATCCAGTACTCAGCGGAAACTAAGGCCCGTGCGTGGCGCTGCTGGTGGTGTACAAGTGACGTCTGCGCACGCAGTTGCTCCATCACAGAACTCTAGGTTTTCTTAGAAAGCTTGGGGAACATACAGAGAAATCATCTCTGTGAATACTGGAAACATCCTTCCCGTGGATGCCGTCTCATCACCGTCCTTGGTACTAATGGATATGCGAGGCAGGGCCCAGCTACCATGTAGGGAAGTGAAATGCACTTTAGCCTTCAGAGTGGTTTGAGATGTTACCGAGTTCCTAAACAAAGACTATGTGCCATCTATGATGAAGGCTCCTCCAGGGGAGGGAATTGAGTGAGCACCAGTGTGAGTATCTCAGACAGGACATGCCAACTCCAGGTTCAGAGGAAAGCAATGTTCTTCGTGGGTTCTCCCTCCCTCCCTCCCAGCGTCTTGTGTTCCCCAGCCCAGTAAGCCAGTGGCACAGTGCAGCCACAGCGAAGGTCCACTGATGCACCACCCCTGGTTCCTCCCCGCCTCAGTTCCCCATGTCCCCCGAGCCTTTAGTCACGGTTGTTTAAGTCACTCCACAGATCCCTGTCCCCTCTCAGCCACACCAGCTTCCAAAGAGGCCTGGCCCTAGAACCTGCAAATCTTCCTCTCTCAATAGAAAAAAAAAAATGGCTCAATGCCATTTGCCTAAGTTTTCCTTCAAAAGAAAGCACTCTGGTATTGTGACATTCTACAAGCAAAATAAGCAAGTTACTGATGAACCCTTAGCCTCAACGTCTTTTGGCAATAGCTGAAGAATTTATGGCTTCCCCTGTAAACATAATAAGATGGCTCCTTGGACAAGCAGCCCCTTTATCAACAGGAAAGAGCTTTGCCCTGAAAAAATTGAAGCCAATGGCCTTGGTAGACTCCAACTAGTAAATGCATGCTGTCTGAGGTCCACCTTTCAGACTTCTGCAATGGGTGAGTCTGGACCCAAGCTCCTGAAATGGGCCTGGGCTTCACTGGAGAAGATCCTGAATGAACAGTTTGGGGGAGGTTGAGA